GGGGGGCAGAAGCAATCACGGTTTGACGTACGGCGGCGTGGCGTTTCGTGTTGGAGAAGGTCGGGCTAACAAGACCTTCGTGTATGTGTATATCCCTCCAGCTCCGTTAGCCTTCAGTGGGGTGCTCAGTGAGGAGTCGCAAGAATTAAGAGGGGCCACGGCTGGCGTGATCGTATATCACTGCTACATATCCGGCACTTCGCGAGCCGGAGCGTGACAGGATACCTTCTACTCTCATGGTGACCCTTCGTGTACATTGGAGGGGGTGGCGCAGGGAGAGGGCATTGACGACGACGACGAAGCAACCGGCACCAACTCCATCGCACCGACCAACCACCACAGCCTGAAAATAGAGTGGTATCGCTAAACACCGCACCCTAACACAGCCGCGACAGCAATCAAGTGTGCTGCCAAGCACTCGGCTCTTGCTGACCTTGACCGCGTTTGGAGTCCCCGTGATGACCACGTCGTTTCCGCTCCTGTCAGGATACGGTTTCACTACGATCTTCGCCCTGCTCTCCTTCATGAGCTTGCTGACCGTCTGGCCCTGCTTTCCGATGAGTTGCGGCGCGATGTTCTGCGCGCGAAGAAGAGGGGAGGGGGAAGGAGCCAAAACCGCGTGCCCCACACGCGCGAGAACAGCATCTGCAGGGTCAAAACACCCACGGAGATCGCATCGAAACAAATACAATTGCAACAGAAACGACACACCGGGTGCTGCTATCACCACAACAAGCGCTTGGATAAAAGTAAAAGAAAAACGGCAAGATCTAGAAACAAGTGAGCTCACACCAATCACCCCCACAATCCAACTTCCCCCTGGAGACCCCCCCCGCCTCCCCCCTCGCGCCTCCTCACGTTTGGACAGAACATGTCATGCTGAGTAGGCCTCTGAGCCGCTGCCGCCTGCGCCGCCGCCGCCCCTGCCCCTGCGCCCCTTACCGGTGCGGGTTGGCTAGCTTGCTGGAGCTTCCGGTCCCATTGTAATGGTTTGATTTTTCGCGCACATGCAACATGCCGGCGAAAATGGGGCAGAAAACAAAGGCGAGTATTTCAGATGGATCCAACCTAGGGGGGAGGAGTCTGAAATTGGTGTTCATTGGAGTTGATGAGAAGTGAGCATTTATTATTGTGTGCAAAGAGGATGTCTGCGTGCGTATAGAAGAGGAGGCATGCGCACCGAGCGAAGGCAGCTGCTCGCAGGACATTCTGTTTGCGCCCGATCACGTTGAAGCATCATCAGTGCTGGAGCACAGGGACTGCTAAACGTACGAGTGGACAACACTGCCAGCTACTACCTGTGAAGACGTTCTGGTCCGGGGAGCTAGTGTTGTCGTCTTTGCCGGCGGGGCGAAGACCAAGAATCGGGGCGACGGAGTCCATACGCCGTTTTCGGAGAAGAAGCGTCGACCACTTTGGTACGTGCGACGTGACGTTGCGTGTGGTTCCACA